TGGCAGTATTTCGGTCATGGCAAGTCGGACAAAAAACAAACCACAGTCATCTGTAAAATGTGTAGGGAACCAATGAAAAAGAAGTCTGATAACGCAACCAACTTTTTTTTTATCATCTCAGCCGCAGGAGTACGAGCTGTGTAGGCCACGGCGCGCATCTGCGTCGTCCTCAGAGGAATTTCGGGAAAATATATATATATTTTCAGTTCTGGGCAGTTTCCCACGTAGTTCTAACGAGTGAGAGAAAAATGCTGAGAGGCCAGCAACTTCAAAGTAATAACTCAGGTTAAAGCAGGAAACTGAGCCGAACCAGGTTCAGCTTAGAAGAATGCGGGCGGGCGGGGGGCGTCTATTTGTTTATTTGTTGTATTTATTTTGGTCACTTTTCTGGTCACTTTAGTTTATTCTTTGTCAGTATTTAATAACATAACTCAAGTCTTTTAAGTTATTTTTCTTTAAAACAATTCTGTTATGGTTAAAGTTGGTTAAATAAATATTTAATTGGAAGTCTGTGTTTGTGTTCTTTATTAAAATTAAATCATTTAGCAATATCATAAAATGTCCAGGCAGAGCCGCACATAAAATATGGTTTTAAATCTTTTCAGTAATTGTCAATATCGATCAATATGCATATTTTTTTATCGATAAGCTTTTTTTCTATATCGCCCAGCCCTAATTTATATTTTAATGAAAAAGGATAAACTTAGAAACTCAAAGAAAACCAGTGGAACCGGATGTAAAGAGAAAATCTGACAAAAGGGAAACAGGGAACACTGACTTGAATACAATGGGGAGTAACTGAAAAAAGGTAACTGCAATTAGCTAAATACCAACTGGTTTGGATCATTACAGTTAATGAATAATGTATTCTAAAAAAATACAAAGACACTGATACTTATTTTTCAGGATATGAGAGCTTTACGGTAATAATAGATGAGTGACAACTGTATTTTGCTTAATCCAAAATTCTCCTTACTACCCTGCTGCCATATCCTACTGATTATCTATTCTGGCTACTTCTAACAAGGCTGCTGTTCTGCTTTTCATCTCTAACCATAGAAACATCAATCAAAAGGCTGTGGGCTAGAAATGCATAAGCTTTTATAGCGACGCACAACCTGAGACTAGTGGTGTAAAAGGGATCGTTGCAAGGGGTAAGAGGAAAATGGAAGAAGGAGCTTTGATTCTCAGTATCTCATTTTCCATCTCACAATGGCTGCACACGCTTGTCATTATCTTTATTGTTAAGGGTCGGGTTAGGGAAATTTAGGACACACCTGCCCCTAATATGAAGAGTTTTATATTAGGGGCAGGTGTGTTGGTAGGACTCTCATTTTGCTTTAATTGTTCAATGTGTAGGTAATAGGTTAAACAGCTGTTTGTTTATTTATTTATTTATGTTAATGGCTCAATTGAGGGTTTTTTTGTGTTTGCAGTTAGAATCTGTGATGGTCGAGATTACCTGCCGGTTGAGTTGATTTGCTCCATCAAATGCATTTGACAGAATCTGCAAACAACTCATCTAAGTCAGATTCATACTGCATGCAAAACCCAGAGCACTTGAGAGAAGGTTGATGCGAAGCAACAACAACATGTCAAAATGAATATCAGTTTCAGAAAAAAAAGAATCTGAGTGGAGTGTGAAGTCATACTGGAAGAGATGTGGCAGCAACTCTCACTGCAGTGGAGGACATCAAGTGTGTTTGGCAAAGCATGGAAATATTGTTTTCCTTTAGATTTTTTATGCCTGACAGCACTATTGCGTGAAACTGTGTGCCTACATTACTATCCCACTTTCCCCACAGAAATCTGAGTCCCTGTGCAGCAGCTGTCTCGCTGCTCTTTTTCATTTTTTTCCTCCAGTTATTCACTGTTGAGGTGTCATGTGGCCATGCTCTGTTGCAGGCTAATTACCTGTGCATATTGGGAAGAGGATGAGGGGGAGATCCCAGAGCAGAAGGGACAGGTGTGTTTGTCCTTCTATAAACTGTGGTAACCCCCTAGTGCCCGCCATCCAGAAATCACAAGTATGCCACAATCGTCAGCATAACTAACAAATCCTTCTAAGCCCACATCAAACTTGACAGCTGGTGGAGTTTTCTCCAGGGGGCCTATAACTTCAAAACAGATGTATACCAAAAAACAATCAAATGTATACTAAACTAAAACATCATAAAACTTTCTGAAGAGTGCTTTAAATCAGTCATACTTGTCTTGATCCATGCTGGGTCCTGATGTTTGAAAAATGAGGCAGTAAAGCAGAATAAAGAGTTAGCCTCGCTGCATGAAGTTAGCCAAGCCTTGTTGCTAAATAATTATATAAACCTGTCAATCAGCCGCACTTTATAGCAGATGTCTGTGACCTCAGCGTTGTGACGTGAGGAGAGCTGTGCCCCATCTTATGCATTGAAGACGAGCTACTGTGCGTGTACAACTTTTAACAACTTTTACGTTTGTGAAATTCTAATCTTTTGTTCTAAAGAAATACCATATCTCTGTTTGTAAATGCAACTCTACACGCTGGGCCTAGGGAACACCAAAATTCTTTTTCTAACACTTAGCTGAGAAAGAATTACAAATACCAGTTCTGAGGCTCTTGCCCAGAAAAAAGAACAGAAAATAATGTCATGCACTGGGTATTAAAACTGGGACACTAATAAATCTTTCTCTTCCACTCCACCACCACCTGGATGCAAGAAAAGACATACCCTTCCAACTGGACATCACGATACATGTGGTGCTGCATAGGCTATGCTAGGGTTTTCATCACTAGTGTTTGTCGACCTGATCTCCAACAATACTTTACAGCACTGTGCAGCCAGTTCTCTCTTCTCTTTATCCTTTTCCTTTCTACTCCTCATTTGTTGTTGACTGTCTCTCTTGCTGCAGGCTATATGGGGTGGGTACTCAATTTGTTGTGCGCCTCAGAAACAAAAAGGAAGGGTGATGGGGTATGTCTGCTTTTTCCTAATCCCTCCTGTTCAGTGTGTATGGGGGATTCAGCAAGGCAGATACCAGAATAAAACTCACAAATGGCATTGATTGTTTATTTTTAAGGAATCAAAGGCAACCTCAAAAGTCACATTGGTTCAAACTGGCCAGGAGCCAGGCAGGCTACCGAGAACTATTCCACCTTTCCCAAGGGTCACTCTGATTTTAACATCCGTATTTTTGCAAAATTATCAGCCCCATGTTTGCTTTCCACATTTGTGTTGTTGTCAGTCCTTCAGTCAATCCCAGCCAACACCTTGTTTTAATCCATCCCAATCAAATAAATAGACCCTTTTTCTTGCAATAGAGAAAGATTTTATTTGTGTGGACTCTGTTATAGGGTTTGAGGTGTTTCTATGTTGTGAAGTGCACTAGTAGCCCCTGCAGCAACACAAACCTACATGATGTTAACATCTCAGTATTTTGCAGCTGGGAACGTGTTCTCAGGCTTGAAATCTTAACCCTTCTTCAGCAAAACGCCATAATGGTCACCTTCAACACACAGTTCAATTTATGTTTCGTCAGGCTACAGCGCATGTTCCCAAAATGTAATTTTCTCCTTACTATGTGTATTTGAAAGCTGTAATATGGCGTTTCTGTGTTTCTTTTGGAGCAATATCCTCTTCCTGGCAGAGAAACGCTTCAGTACTCATTTCATTGTAGAAATTGACTCACTCTTGTAAGCATTAGCCAGCATCTTCACAAGGTCTTCTGCTTTTGTTCTTGGGTTGGTATACACATTTTATGCTAAAGCACCTGGTCTCTCAGACATGAAACCCGTCCGCTTCCTGAGTGTTATGATGGCTAGACGGTAACATGATGTTTATACTTATCAAGATGATTGCTTGAACAAATTGACGTTGCACCAACCGGCATTAAGAAATTGCACCTAAGGATAAACCGGACTTGTGCAAGTTCACGATTGCTTTCCTCATATCTTGGCAGATATCTGTTATTTTTTTCTATTATTTTACAAATAAAGGAAGAGTGTTTCAGATGTTGTTAATAAAGCTATCAGAAGTAGTTTACATGCAAAGTCAATGGTTGACGCACATCAAGGCGCAGTAAAAGTTCTTGCACTGCGTTTTGAGCAGCACCTTGCGAGCTTCTGAGCATCTGACACGCGGGACGCACTTCATAAGCAGCAGCTGTTGAACACGCCTCATAAGCCCAGAAGCTGATCTGGGAGCTGGCAGGTAGACAGACTAAACTGACGGAGATCACAATGATCATTCCTCTGAAACAGTTTATTTATGCCTAAATTTACTCAAAATGTCGAAACCTGCTGGCAAAATATGTTTGATTTTATTATCCTGGTGCCTGCAGTTTGGTTTACGTACATGAAAAACGCCATCCCACGGGATTCCCAGTGACAGCGCTCGCCGGTGTCTGTGCGGCTCAAACAGAGAAATAATATTTAAAGGCATGATCATAATCTTGATAAACTGCCTGCACAGAAGAAGTTTTCTGGTGGACTTTCTCACTTAAAAACATATAAAAACTACTTTTACCCACTTATAGCAGCACATATAGCAAAGCTGCTCTCTGCCATCGAACACAGGAGCAGCAAAAACTTCAGGAGCATCAAAGCTGCTCTTGATGCATGTCTAACCTTTATGTGTACAAGCATTAAAAAATTAAACAACATGCGTGTTTTTGCTGCTTCTGCTGCGTGCAGTCTGAACGTAGCATAACAGACATAGGAAAAGATTGATTAGATTCATAACTGTCTTTAAGGAGAAACATTGTATGTTTAGTGTATTGGATGTAAAAGTCTGGTTTAAACTGTATCATTTAAGGAGCACTTTTAACAGACATATCCACAAAGTGCTTTAAAAATCATATAATCTGTGTAACTCTCAATAAGAACATCAAGACGAGGAGAAATGTTTGAAAACACCAACAAACCAAATAAGAACATTCAAATACTTAATTCTATTGTATTTCCTGGCTAGATAGAATATTTATAAGAAACCAGTGATTTAAGCAAATGCATCTGTTGAAAAATGTTCCAACCTCCAAGGTTACAACCTCTAATGCTTCATCCGCTTTAGTTTTCAGTCTTAAAGGGGCAATGACTACAGTTTATATGTAGAAACTTAAAAACTAAATGTTTAGTTAAGCGATCAAAAAGATATGATTGTGCTAGACTATTAACCATGTAGCTTTAAATCTACGCACTAATATCTTAAAGAAGTTTGTAAGAAGGCAGTGCACAACATATAAAACAGGATTCAACGCTGCTTCCTTAAAATATTTCAACCTCTCAAGCTCCACACCCAGGTAATAGGGTAGGAATTAACATGTTTTATCTTCTAGATTCATTCTTCTAAGTGTTCTTCATTAAATATACACAGATGAGGTATCCACAAAAACATTAGAAGCTTGGGTACAAACTGATTTAAACTATTTCTGCAAACACTGAACACAGTTAAAACAAGGAGGAGTTGAACCATAAAGTAAACAAACCTAAAACCATTCTGTCAGGTAAAAATTTGCTCTCAGCAGTTTTGCAGGTGGCTATGGATCAAACAAAAAGCTTCTCCTCTGGAAGCAGAGGTCTCACACATTTCAAAAACACAAGTTTTGTCTCAGTCTACCCAGGGTGTATATAACCAGCAGAAACAGAAGACCAAAAAAAAATGATTCATGTTTGAAAAACATGTAAAAATGTTATTACATCTTAGTCTGTTTTTTTTTTTTGGTTAAAATCAACCACTATACAGCAAGACTCTCTGTATTGCTGCAACATAGTTTTCTAGTTCATGTTACAAGCTTTTGTTCATCAATGTTCTCTCTTTCTGACCATCCTACTAAGTAGTTAATTTAACAAGGGTACAATTTAATCAGTGTGCTTTAAAATCTCTTGTTGGCAGTATTGATACTAACGCGTAATTATTTTGTAGTAAGTAAGTAGCACTGCTACCAGTGGTAGTTTGTAAAAGTCAACAACGTGTTAATCATTACTACACTTTAAACAGATGTTTGATTTGTTAATTACTGTTTATGAATAACAACTACAAAGGATGTGAGATGATAGCGCAGAGTCCCTGATTCAGTGACTACATTCCTGCTGCAAAGCGCTCACTGAAGGCTAATATTGCTGTGATCTGCTCATTATGTGCAGAAAAAAAGACTTTATAAACTTTAGTCCAAAGCTGAAAAATCAGCACATCATCTTAACACTGCTCCTTTTAATCTACACATGTTCTTTACTTACTCAGGGCTAGGATGATTTTACTTTCCTGGTTTACAATCTTTCACTAAGAAATACTCGAAGGGTAAAGACCTGCTAGTTTTTTATTTATTTTAATTTTTTCCACGGAATATTTTAATCCCTGTTTAATAGATTTTTTTTTTATTGCATGAAATAATATTTTTTTAGGCTTTCCATTTGCAAAAAAAAAAAAAAAAGCCAAAATGTCTTTTCTTTTAAAGTAAGCAGAAAATATGATCACATCTACGTAATCATATTGCAACCCAGTTGTCAAACCACACACACCAAAATAATGCAGATTGGTTTTTAATATTTGTGTGGACATTTTTAATCACTTATTTAAAGTATTAACTAATAACAAAAACTGTATATTCCCTAATTTAACCTCTGGCTCTATTCAAAATTCCAATAGTAGGAATGTTTTACAAATTCTTTGACATTTTGATCATAAAAAATAACTATCTACGTTGCCTAGTAACAAGTTACTGTTACTGGGCAGCAACTGAGTAACTAGTAACAATAACCAGTTACTTTTTTAAGTAGCTTGCCCCACACTGCTCGTTGGTGATTAATGTGACTGATGTAAACATGTTACTTATACTTGATTCTACAAGCACTAATGATTAAAGCGAGGAGACATTGGTCAAATTTGATCAATCAAAGCATGACTTACTGCCCTGCATCAAGCCTGTGGTCATTTAAACCAGTAGCACACTTTGCAGGTTTATATGCTTTACGCATCCCACCTGTGTATAAATGGTATACTTTGCAGGTTAGAATGCTTGTGCTGGGAGCAAAATGATGCCCCAGAACAAAGTCAATTCAACAAAGGATGTTTGTTTATTTAAATTTTTTATAATATTCAATAAGCCACTTTAAAATGTAAGAAGATTTTCTAAAATTTTGCAAGTACAAATACCAGAAATACATTTTTGCATGGGGCTAAAGTGTGTCAAACTACTGTATGTCAAAAGGCAAGATACCTAAGTTTGTCTAAAACATCTGTAACTTTGCTTTAGTTTATCCCAGCTGCATGACGTTTAAGGTAAAGACCACAGTTGAATGTAGGGTTTCAAAAAGGTTTATAACAAAGATACGTCTAAAAGGTTTATAAAGTGCATAATCCAAATGATGTCAATAGAAAAAAGTTGTCCAATTGTTTTATAATCTCTCTTTCTAAAAAAAACTATTTCTAAAACTAATATTAATAATAGTGATAATAGTAATACACTTCACTTTAAGAAAAATCTCAAAGTGCTACTGGTAAAATCATTATAGAAATGTCAAAGGAAAAAATTTAAAACTACACATCATTGTAAAGTACATATGAATAATAAGTCTGTGGCATAAAGCAAAAAAGTGAAACCTACATTTCTGAAGGAATAACTAAAGCCTAGGGCTGTTAGGGCTTAAGATTTCACTAACCTTATTGCTTTATTTGTATAACTTGTATATTTTATGATTGTATATGATTTGTCTTAACATGAGATGATGCATTGGACAAGTTGAAAGGGAAAGAAATAAATACATAAAGATTTGTTTATAGAGAATGGAACAAAAGAATAACATGAGCTTCAAGACGAGATTTTAAAATGGATTTTACATTTACATCAAGCCTATATTTCTGTATTCCCACCCACCCACCCCCAACACCCTTCCAAAAAATATTTTAGGAATATAATCAGTTATATAAAAGGACAAAACATCTATTTCAGCATGTTTAAAACTTACTTTAACGTAAAATGTAATTTCAAAAGGTCACATAGTATTGTAGAATAACAGAGACAATGTAGTGTGATTTTGCTATTTCATGAACTGCCCAACCTACAGTATTTTGATTGATCAAACCACAAGCTCTGTTCAATCAGAAAAACCTTAACACACCTTAATTTAAATCTAAATGAGATTCCTGCAACAGACTGACAACCTGTCCAGGGTCTACTCCGCCTCTTGACTAGGAGAGGCTGGATGGATATATATATGCTTTTTTTTTTTTACCTTCCTTACATTTTATCATGAGTTTAAACTTCTTTTTATACTTACCCTATTATCTTTTTTATGCTGAAAATATGTTTGATGTCCAGAAATACTGAAGTGTAAAAAAAAAGAATAAATTTGTAAGCAGGGAAATATATAGTCCCCAAAGTGAACTTGACATTATTTCTTTATCATATAAATTGTATGTCTTTATTATAAAAACTGTCAAGCTTATATTTAAAATAAATTATTCTCATAAAACTGTACATGTACCCCATTGGTGAGCTGGTAAACAACCTCAAAGCACATGAAAAATTGAATCTTCTGATGCATAGATAACTGGTTTATACTTACAGGGAAGCAAAGAGAAAACAGCAGCCAGAGACCTCTAAGTGGATACGCCACAGTGGCTAAACATTGCCAATCAGGCACAATTACTGTATTTATGTAGCACAACAGCTTGATACTGACTGTAAATAAATTTCCAGCATGGACAATTGGGTCAATGAACGGAGCCCCTGCCTTTATTAATAGTTCTGCATATATCAGCAGCCCGTCCAGTGATATTAAACTCCTTTCCAATGCTTGGGTGGAAATGCGGAGGGTAAAAATGTAAATAGACACCCGCCTGAGGGGATTCCGTAGGAGCACAACCCACATAACGATCTGTCAATTTAACAGTGTGTAGGAGTGCAAGAGCAGAGATGGAGAGAAATGTTTTCCTCCTCTGCTCATTAATAGTCGTAGAAATCAGATTTATGGTTGTTTGGCGCCTGTCATTAGCTGGCTGGAAATAAATAGGCATGTGTATACAGGGTTGTATTTTTGATTTGGAGGTGTGGTCAGAGCCTGTGTGAAGCATTTTGCATTAGTTACAGCCATCTGTTAGATTTGCTGAAAGGCTGACCCTTTCATTTGATGCTGAGTACAATAAATCATCAGCCTGAATGTTATGCTGCCACACCTCCATTAAAACATGAGGATAATATCTGAACTATTTCTCCCTGCGCACAAAGAAAAGAACCTGTAAAAGGCTGAGGTCTACAGTAACCTTCAGACTTAAGCAGTTTAAAAAAAAAATCTGTTGCTTTTCCCAACAGAGACAGGCCAGTGGGGTTCAATACCCTGCGACACCAATTAGAGGGGTAAATAATGGCACGACCAGCAGAGGCATTCCAACCTTGCTTGTCTTCCTGCAACCGGCTTATCAAAGCCCCTTTTCTTCAATGCCATAAGTCTAAGATCAGAGGGCAGCAATAATTCATTAATGCCAAAGTTACTTAGTGCTTAACAACTAGGAAACATTATTACCAGTTGGAGAAGAGAATGTTGACTGGTGAGGAGACATTTTCTTGACTGGCCAGCATGAAGCCAAGGCACCTCTGAAATATCACTTATCAAATCTCCAAGGCAAGACTAGACCTGTCTGCCCTACTACTTTTGCACTTCTCGGTTTGACAGCAAAAAGTCTCTATTTTTCATAAATCCAATTCTGCTGGTGTGAGTTAAATGCAGACAGGATTGTCCACTAACATTACAGTGTTTGTCATGACTAGTGAGAGGACCGTTTTCACTCAGATGTCAGTGGGCTGTAACAGAAGGGGGGTGCAGAACCGAAAGAGAAGCCTTTAGGCTTAACAGCTTTCTGCGGAGGAAGAATTTAACAGTGTCTGCAGCCAAAAAAAAAAGTGTACAGGGTACGGTTCTTCAGTTAAACTCCTCTAGCGAGAGGAAGATGTGTTAGTTAGCTTACAGATGGTAGTCAGGGTGCCAACTTTTAAAACAGATTAGTTCCACAATATGACAGTAATGATAAGGCTTACCCATGCAATTCCTTAAGAGAAACCGAGATCTTGACATCGTGACCAAGAACATGGAGAGCAGTGAGAATGTCAGCCCATTGCACCATCTCACCCAGGGGACCTCCTTTCAGCACCTTGGGACTGAAAACGTCCCCAGACTCCTCAGTCAGAAAGCCCACATGGACTAGAATCTGGAGGAAAATAGCAGAGGATGAATGGCTTTAGAAAGGAACATTCAAAAAGGTCAAACAATGCATTTGTAGTGTTGAAATATATTATGTATGCCATATGTATGCCAATATGTGACCAGTGAATTTCTCCGCTGTGAGATCAATAAAGCTCATCTAATCTAATCCAATCTATTAGTCTCTCAGAGTAAAATTTCAAGAGTCATTATTATTGTCCAACTTTAACGTATTAAAAAGAAAGGTACATGGATGTACAAACTGACAGATTAGATGGAAGGAACTTTAGGGCAAGGAATAAACTCTGGAATTACATATATCCTTTAATGGCCTTTTTTTCATACTTATCCAGACCTGGAAATCTTATTTCCAGACTTTTCCAAACTGTTAAACATTTGGATCAGAAAATAAAACTCTGTTGTTCTGAATTGAACAATGTTAAAAACCACCTAACTTAACAGCTTCTTTGTACACATACACTGAAAGAGATTAAGCCCGTAATAAATTCAGCAATCAAACATGACTCAGTGATATTACATGTTTTAATGTAATTGCATATGCAAGAGAAGCAAAACTGCAGATTTATGGCTTTTTCGGCTTAGCTTCATGAAAACACAATCAACTCTGCATGAATCTCGAATAAAAATCTAACAGGGGAGTTGTAATTTCCATGCAGAGCGATACATGAGCAGTTTAAATGCTTATGGGGAAGGTCGTAATTTCCAACCTGTTGTATTTTTAATGAAATGAAGACATTTCGGCAGATGTTAGCACCTCTTTTTTAACTCCCACCTCCCATTTGTTGCAGGAAAGACTTTTGTAAACAACTACAAAGAATGTTCTCTTCAGTATGAGTGGTATGCAAAACTTCCATATGTCCTACGGCATATGAGCAGTTAACTTGCTATTGCATCATCCACCCATATTTAGGCTCCACTAATCTGTCTAAAAATGTAAAAGAATATGGGGTTTTAATGTAGCAGCAACCATAAAGATATATTTGTTTGGTGAGAGAAATTTATAGTTTTGTGAATGTTTTCTTCCAAATAACTAATTTAAATTAAATGATAATAAAAGTAGTGCAAAAAAGGTGAAAACTCAGCGGACTTCCTTTAGAAAAAAATGCAATATATTGTTTTTATACCTCAGTGTTCTGCTCCAATATGTTATGAACATTTCATTACCTTGGTAGCATTTAAAAGTGATCCACCTCACTTTGGATGGTGGCAGCATTGATTTCAACTCTTTTCCAGTCTTGTTTGGCTAAGCTCCAGTTTTATAAAAGATTTTCAACTATAGCTCTGATCATAAAAATTGTAAAAGGTAGACAACCAACATTTTTGTTGCCATTTAACGTGTTATTAATATTAACATAGGTCTGTTTTACTTTCTACTTTTCCCTATTTTTTAGAGCTGCTATTTTATGAAAGGAAAATTAGACCTTTTTGAAGTTATATTGATTCGTAAAGGGAAATGTTTCCTGACAACTGGGTTAGGTCAGCTAAACACCATCTTAATATGCCGGCTACAGATTTAAGGAAAGTGTCTTTATCACAAAAAAAAAAAATATATATATATACACAAGTATTTGGTAAATAACATCCAGAAAGAAGAAAACAATTACTTGATCAGCATCCTAATGCAGGAAGCTTGCCTGCTTTGGAAAATCCATCCTACTGTAACTGTAAAGCACAGAGACTGTAGTGTCATGATGTGGGAATATTTTTTGCTGCAGAAAATAGGTAACTAGGTATAGTTAAGATTGCTGGTGTTGATTCGAGTGACCTTAATTAGAGAGAGCTGTACAGAGTTCTGATATTATTCTGTATTGTTGCTTTAATGTTTGTTTGTTTTTTTTACATGTGTTTTGATTGGTGGGGTCTGTTGTAAATGAATATCCCCTGTTGGACATTAAAGTCTATCTGCATGTCTATATATCTTCTTCTCTTTATTTACATTTTAAAAGCAATCCTTTTCCTGCCCCACAATTAAATATTTTCTCATGTTTCTCCGTCATGTAAAAAGTCATCAAGTGTATTTGGTGATAATGTGACATAAGATCAAATTTAAGAGGTTTTAATAGCACTCATTTCTAAGTTAATCAGCTGAATCTGAGATTGGTAAGTGAGAGACTCCAAATTTATGAAGCAGCTCTGATTCTCTAAAAGTATAATAAGCATAAAAACCTGAAACCTTCCGTGGTTTTTAAATCAAATTATGTAAATTCTGAGATTACTATATATTTTCCTACTCAGTGTTAGTCTCTGAAGGGTCGGCGTGGGGAATGTATTATTTTATTAAAAACTCACAGGGATATCAAGATAAAAAAGTGACTTAAATAAAAATGCATATGCAAGTCAGGGGAGTATGTGGGTGTTGTAATCTCTGCTAAGTCCTGTCATTTGGGTATACTAGAGGATATATATTTAAAGTGTGTTTTTTTTTATGTGTTAATGTGTTTAATGTTGTCTTCATATTATTTTACAATCTCTAGGGCAAAATTGTACAAATTAAGGCAAAAGACTTCAAAGAAAATTCTCGATGGGTTTGTTTTTTCTAAGAACTATTTGAATTTTCCAACGGTGTGAACACAAACACAGGGATATATCTAATGTCAGAACCCTTTTTCGTCAGACACACGTTCCTCGGGGCCAGGCTTTTTAGAAACTGGGGGAAAACGTCCCTGTAAATGTCAGCAGGGAAAGCGCACTAGAGCCAGCAGACGTCTGCGCAAGGCGCCTGTCTGTCATTATCTTCTTCTGCCTTGAACTCAACATTGCTAGATTCACTCCAGGTGGCCATAGATAAGAGAAGAAAATATTAGTCCTAGAAAATGTCACAGCTGTTAAGGGTAACTCAGCGGAAATGGCTTAAGGGTATAAAAAGAACCGTCTGTTTCAAAAACGTGTAATGAGAGGGACTTTTTCTTATCCAGGATTAAATCTGGAAGAGAAACCTTGTAAAAATTATCTGACAGCTAAAAAAATCTAATCTCCTCGTCAATTCATGTGTGTGGAGCTCAAATGGCACTATGTAGATTTTATAGCAAAATAAAAAAGGCAATTTTAACATTTTCCAATTGGTCGCTGTACAACCAAAAATGTTTGTGTCATTTATTGGGATTTTTTATGTTCTGTTACTGTAAAGTTTTACATAATTAGTTTTCATCAGTGTCGGTTTTCTGTCTTTAAAATAATTTTTAAAAGGTGCACCTCAGGCCAAGGAACAATCCATAAAAGTTTGGTGAGGATCCAGATCATTATCTGGATACAGGATTTTTTTTAAAGATTCTCTGACATTGTGAACAAGAGATATTTGGCAGAAGAAGCCGTTTTCCCCCTAAACCAGAGGGTGGCAGCAGCGACTATTGACTGCCTGGGCATCAGACTCAAAAAGTCAAAAGTGTTTTACTAAAGACAATAACCGATGAAAAGGCAGCATTGCTGGTTTGTTAGTAGGATCAATTGAAAACTGATTTTAAGGACATTCGTTACCACAGGTGCACCTCATGGCAAAAAATAAATAAATAAATAAATCATTTAAATTGGGCAAAGAACCAGATTATATGCAATTTTTAGCTATAGTTTTAGATATAGATGGGGCAACATTTGTTGCTTGCAGAGAAAAGCAGAGGTGTGCTTTTCTAGTTACAAATATTATATTAAATATTGATCTTAAAAGCCCCCTCTTGCTCCTACAGCTTAGTGATCAGTAGGACTTACGCACATCTTTATCTCAGATGTTTTTTTTAGCAGCATAACTGGGTTTATACAGAGATTAATCTGTATGGAAATTATCTATTTACTAATGAAGTTGCTTCTTTAAGGAATTAGTTGGAAAAGGGTTTTAGTTTGGTCCATCCATCCATCCATCCATCCATCCATCCATCCATCCATCCATCCATCCATCCATCCATCCATCCATCCATCCATCCATAGGGTAAAAGCTGAGGTACACCCTGGACAGGTCACCACTCTTCATAGGGCACAACTGGGTTTATACTGGAGCTTAACTGGTCCATGCAGACAGAGTGGATTGAATATTATAATGTATATGTGTTGAAAATAACATTTCAGCAAAGATATTACATAGAACCGATGGTTTTGTTTTCGTTTGTCTTCTCTTCTTGTTTAATGGTGGCTGGCAAACAACATTCAGATTTATTACTGCCACCAACTGCTAAGGAGTTTATCTGCATTGTGGCGAATTATAACTAATATTCATAAATTCTAAACTTTTATTCTCACTGATGTAGATCTAATGTCCCATGTATCTATGAGCTGATAACAAGGAACACGTGCAAATCTTAAATGTCAATTTCAGTCATAATGTTTATATTATTCAAAAGAATCAAACATTTTGATGCCTCCTGTCTGTGTTAAAACTCCTGTTTACCCTTTTCTGTTCTCTCTGGTGGCTGCGGAGTTTCTCATCCAGTCGGCGGGCAGCAGAGGCCCACTCCGCTGACAGCCTGCGTATGCGTCTTTTCATGAAGCTCAGGGACTCCTTCCCGGTTCCAACCTGCTCCAGCAGACTCCCAATATCGGACTGGAAAACAGCCTGGATGGAGGAGCAAGAACACTGTGAATGTAGAGAACCTCTTATAAGAAATCGGTGTGTTAATTTAAAGGACTTTATTTCTATAAATAGTGCAGCAGCTTTAAAAAGTAACCCTAAAGCAGGACAGGGTGGATGATAAAAGATAGAAGAAAACTGACAGTATTGTTCTGTTCTCTTTGAGCAAGCTGTTTTTATTGGAGGTGGTTAAAACTGCAGAAGCACAGACAGTACGTCAAGTTGTGTTTTTTGTTTGTACCTCATGGCACGGCTTCTCCAGCTGATGCCTGAGGGGAATCCGGATTTACCTCATAAATACTCCCTTCACATTTTACATCTTCTTTGTGTAATTTATGCATCACAGAGCAATATCTCTATGTGTTTTACTTTCACCTGAGTGACTGCAAGGAGAAAAGACTAAAGATACACACAAACAAAACAATTCTAACACACATGCACCATTTAAAAAGTGAACAATATCATGAAATGTCATGAAAATGCAAAGCTGTTTTGTATGCTGGCATCAGAGATGCATTATATATCTTCCATTAGCAACCCGTGTACTTTACAGCAAGATGTGGAACAAGTAATGGGGGAAACCATTTTGGGAATAATTCTTGTAGAAGCAGGCCGGCAATTAGAGCAGAAGGTGGAGCTGTAGGGAAAACTAACATCAGGTCCCATCATGGCAGCAGTATATAACTCTGGGGGAGAAAACAAGAAAGATGAGATGGAGGCAAACACTGGGGAGGCCCCTGGCAGAGTGACTGTAAGGTCAGATCTTCACATGTTGATGCTGAAAATAAAGTGATTAAATGAGGCAGAGAATCAAAAGAAAGTAAAAACTGGAGAAGATTAGAGGAAATATAACACTCAGCTGAGTTTCTGCACTTTTCTTTCTGGAGATAAAGGAACAAATATAACTTTTGGTTTAAGGCCATGCCATATTGTTAAACTTTTTAAATTTCGTACTTTCTCTCAGCATAAAAAAAAGGAATTTGAAAATCCGTACATATAGCACTTTATAAAAACAGAAGCATCGGTTGTTTTAGTAGCAATAACCACCTGCTGTTTCCTATTCACCAACACATTTTCTTTCCTCTTATAATTTGCCTCTTTTTATACGGATCTCTTTCTAAATGGCTCAAAAACAAACTACTGTTGTCTTAATTCAGCTGTGAAGCCAGATTTCTTGTAAAGAGGCAACAAATGTTTATTTGTACTTTCCAGGGACTGAACAAATGTGTTTGCATTAGCAGGCAAATGTTTCCACTCTAAATGATGCTGTTGGCCTGTGTTCGTTTCTCCTCATCAGCCAGCTGTGTTATGGTGGAGGTAAAATTAATGATCCGGAAGTGGGTTTTTTGTACCTGCTTTTTGGGAAGAGGCTTCAGAGTGGGTGTAGCAGTTTGGTTCCTCCAGGGCAGCGGGGGGCAGAACCACTCCACTTCACTCAGATAGATGAGAAAGGAGCAGTCAGAGCCGTCGACACCGTAGAATGCATAGCAGGGGTCCGAGGTCCAGCGAGCACGCATCCACTAGGAAACAACATTTTCTTTTTTCTCAGGGATTTAACAAATGAAAACATTAACAACATTTAAATAAAAGACTAAATTCATGCTACAAATACAGATCCAATGTAGTATGAAAATGATTAAAAATGCTGACTTGTTTTTCAAATTAAATTTCCAATATGTCACTGAGTTAAATATTTCAAGAAGTTTTTCTAATTATTTATATCTGAACTTTTAGTTCATTATAGCTAATGAAAACCAATACTTCACCAATTACAGTAAATAAATATATTAGTAATACATTAGAAAAGCTTATAGTTAGAGTGCCTCAGATTACCCTGAGCTACCTCTATGTTTATGCTGCTTTAGGCTTAGGCTGCTGCAGGACCACATTTCATCATTTCTATTCTACTTCTACTCTCCAACTCGGTATCATTTTTAAGTTCACCTTCTAACTAAATGTTGCCATCATAAGCTTCATCTGGCCTGCTGCTCTGTTAGGCTGTGACTCCATCCTTGATGTAGCCGTTAGCCAAGCATGGTCAGGAATCCAGTTAAGTCCATCGTCACCTTACTCTGTCGTCCATGTCTTCATTGACTTTGCTTTGTGCACCGTGCACATTCATGTTGGAAGAGGACGAGACCAGCTCCATACTGTTCCCATAAGGTTGAGAGCAAATAATTGTCCATTTCTTTTATTGTGATTAAGGGGCCAAGCCAGGCTCCTGAGCCCGGTTGGTAAGCATTTGCCATATGTAACCCTAAGCAAATTCTCCATAAATTAATCTGAGTAAGATTACAATTTATTTCAAAATTAGTCATCATATCTCATGGGTATTTAATAAATATATATTATGAAGTGTTACTTAAATATTTTGTCCTAAGTGAAAGGGAAAGAGCTTTACTCTAACAACTGTTTTAAAACTGCTATACGTAAACATATCAATAGAACGTTGAATGGAAGGGAAATTGCCAAATGACAAGATCCTTAAAAAAGTTTAATATTCTTCAAAGAATTGGGAGGGATCCTTTAAAAAATGTCTGTTTTTTGTATTTTTTTTTTTTTTACCTTGGAATAATTTTCTTTTTTCTCTTTATTTTGATGTCTAGCTATCAGAGCCAAGAGGAAGAGAAGAGCCGTACATCATCTAACCAGCTTAAGATCCACTAAAAACGTTTCTGCATTAATAACTGACTTAGAGGGACATTTTATTTGCTGGTGTTGGCCTTCTGTTTCATTGATGTGCTTCATGCTTCTTTCGGCAAAGCTTTAGGGAGATGGTGATTTCATTTTCCAGCAGAACTGCCAACAAAGCGAAACGTACCAGTACCTGCTTTAATCACCATGTTCCCACCATGTTTGATCGGCCAACCGAACTAGCCAGAGATAAACCCCATAGAGAAGCAACAACGATTGTCAAGAGGAAGATGAGACACATCAGAGGTAACAACGCAGATGATCAAAATGCTCATTTTAATGCAATCGGGACTCAAGGTCTCAGAGGTGCCACAGCCTAATAATCCCACGCCATGATGCATTACATTTTGCTAAATTAATCTCAACCTCTTACTGAGTGCATATATTGTACTGTACATGTACCACTATAGTGGGACATTTCTGTGTTTAAAATTATCTATTTTACACGTCAGTGTTTCTTTTTGTGTCTTTAATTCATAAGTATTGAAGTTTGAATAAAGCAAAAAGACAAAAACTTCAGGCTGGTGATCTATATATTCAGTTTCCTTTTCAAACATTACATTTTCTAAACTGTTTGATGAAATTCTGATATTATTAAGATAACATATAAATGCTGAATTTCATTTTCATTTTCTTAACTTTTTAACAGCTTATTCTATGCATCCAGGTTACTGTATTCCTAGATGTTTTTTTAAAAAAAAATGTATTATTTGTGTATGGCATTACATACATCGTATTTTTTTCTTACCCTTTAAAAAACATACAAGACTGAAAAAAAGCAATCTCTTAGTCACTCTCTAAAATGTGAAAGGCAAAAGGGCATATATCAGAAAACTTATAGCACTACAATCAGATTAATGTAAATGTATATAGTTGAGGCTTTCATTACTTTATTACTTATACTTTAACGTATGTCTATAAGTCCCTGTTTTCCTTTTACCTTCCATAAAGTATGTTTCTATTTCCTGCTATCATAACACACTTATCAGACATGTCAGTTTTGCACTGCCGTTTAACATTCGGCTATCTTTAATAATTCATGTTGCTGTGAGGTGATGGAGTGATGACTGCTTGTTGTGTGAAATGGTGCATGCGAAAAAGATATGAAGGTTTACATCCATCTTGCTGGTGCAGTCTGGATAATGGGGATCCTTGGGAGTCTCACAGGATCCAAAGACCCCATCTTTACCTGTAAAGATAGGAATATAAACAGACTTTGAAAAGGGTCTGGAGGAAAGCAGAGAACGAAAAACTGATATGTTTATTTTTTTAATTCTTAAGGAAAGAAAACCAAACATCCTGGGGTATGTTTTTTTGGACAAAAATGTTTCATAAACTCATTAGTAAAATTTTCAAGGTAATAAGGATTTTTTATGTGCTTAGCACAACCCTATAAACAACCCCCTAGGGTTGTTTTTTATTTCAGATGCAGCATAAAACTTTGATCAATAAAAAACAAAGGTATGCTGATTTTCTATGCAAAAGGCCTTAAGCTTTATCTGAGAGTGTCCTTATAGGAAGAATAAAATCTTAAGAACATGGATAAGGCAAAAATATTTTGCTCTAATGCACTGGACCAAGCTTTATCTCCATCCAGATCATTGCGTGTTAAGATATAAACACCACTCTTAACAAAATGATTTAATCAGTAAAGTCATCTGAAATAGAAATAAAAGTAGAAATAACGTTTGACTGTTAAAATAATAAGAATAATAAGAATAAGAATAATGATAATAATAATAATAATAATGATAATAATAATAATGATAAGAAAACAAACTATGTAAAGAATTTGCATAAAGACCCAAACTGGTTTCAGAATTAACAAAGCAGGGAATCTTCAAATGACTCTGACCTCAACCTTAATGTGGATTTATGGATAACAATTAAACATGGTTTAGTGCTAGTAAATCAAACAGTTTAAATAAACTTGATCAATTATATCTAGAACAGTGGTCAGATTTGCAACCAAAATTATATCTGTATAATATCAATGGCTAAAAAAAGTGTGTGTATCTTGAACCTACCTCAACATAGCTGTATAATCTGTTCACCCCAAAAGTTCCCATAATAAACAACATATGAGTAAGAAGCAGATTAATTAACGAAGAAATCATAATAAATAAACAACAAATCCCTTCCATGTAATACAGCTTAATTTAGGTTGAGATTATATCCCATCATGCATGTGAGGCAACAGAGGGAGAATACTTTCAGTTTAACAATAGGACCTTAACCAGGATAAACCCATTGGAGGTTGATAGTGTTTGTTGATTGCCGTTGGCTAAGAGTCGAAGACTCAGTAATCTAGAATGAAACTGCTAAAACACTTTTCTTTCCCTAAAGAAAATGTATGCAAAATGTTAATTTTGAAAAATGCAGTGAGAAAATCTAAGTGCATCATGGGACATCCCTAAAGGGACTGATTTGGGTAACCCAAATAACAAAGATAAAGTCTTTGTTATTCAAGCATGTCATGAATATTGTTAGCAGTAACATTATTGTTGGCAAAGTCTCTCAGGAATGTTTTACACTGGAATTGTATTAATTAGAAAAGACATTTGCAAATGTTAATGCAAAGGCTAAAATTCAAAAGATGTTTCTTTACCACTGGAAGAATGTCATGTGAGGTCAGGTAAACTCTTAGACAGAATGGAATCCATAAAAACGGCTCTTTATTTTGGGACAGTTTCTGCTTTCGTTTCACAAGAAGCAAGAAAGTCTCTCTTCACAAGTTTCTGTTTGAATTTAAATCTCCAAATTATGAAGATAGATTGTTTTCCCTCTTGTATCATTTAGTGTTTTACTATGACTGAAAATACAGAGCAGAGAAAGTTCTCAATTTCAAATTCTAGAATTAAAATTTTACAAATGCTCTCATAAATAAAGCTACATTTATGTGAAGACAAAAAGTGGATTATTAATTATTTAACTCTGAAATATCTTCTTTAAAAGAAAGCATTTACATTACTTTGTGTTGAAACAAAGCCCCTGGACATCCATCCTGTTTTGGGGTATAACACCACTTTTTAGCATGAGGGATAACTACTACTATTACAGTAGATGAGATGTAGAGGTAAAATGTATCTCTTCAATTCTCTTCAATTCAGTTTATTTATATAGCGCCAATTCACAAAACATGTAATCTCAAGGCACTTTACAGAGACAATTAAACCAGATCATATAGTCCAATTGATCTCCCTCTGATTTCCTTTTCTCTCATAACCAGTTGAACTTTGCGTCCCATAAAACTCAGTGTCTTTAACTAATTGTAACACTGAATAGGTTCTGTTGTAAAACTATTTCATCTTGCGCTTTTTTGATGTGATATCACCCGATAAAGACATTTATAATCTCGTACAGCAGATGGTCAGTCAGATGCAGAACAGGCAACAATTTTGTTATAAGAGGAGTGATTTTCTCTGGTGGACCAGAACAGATGCTACTGTTCTGGACAGATGTCTTCCTCTGTAACTGTTCTTATTCCTGCATGAATTATAATGAATGTTGCTTGAGCAACATGATCACTCATCTCCTTCTTGTTAATCAAGAGCATTGTTCTTTTTTTTTATTATTATTTTAACAGTTTTTTTTCTTTTATTGAAACTATCTTTTAATGTGAGATTTGTTTTATTTTTTTATTCAACATAGATATGTGTAAATTTAGTTTTCGTCTGTACAGTCAATTTCTGTAAAAACATTTCTTTATATGCAGCCATAAGCCTTGACAATTTTCAGTAAGGTTCAAGCGAAACCAAGACAAATGAGAACCATCTGTCTGGACACCTGAATTTTTATTTTATTAAATTTTTTTCCCATTTGCTTTAGGTCATGGTTTTCATGTAACAGCAAGCTTATACCCTGTAGACTCTGAAAAATGTTCCAAATTACTGTTCTTCATGCATCTATCTTTCTGTCGAAGCCAACAAGTCTCCTGGCAACTGCAGCAGTAAAACACAGTTAAAGTAAAGTATTACAATGTTAGTGCCACAGATGTATTTCTAAAGGTGACATTTAAGCTTTATTTTTCTTCACAAGATTTTGCATTTAATGGACTAATAGCTTTCAGGTGCCTTTTAGTCAATTCCCTGGAGACTATGCTGTTTTAGTTAGAAGTAATTCCTCCCCAAAATTAAAACTGTTTACATGTGTGGAGTTTGAAAAGGCATACCCCCAAATACTAAATGCAGATAATTTGTTAAATATGTGTAAAAAAGTATACAAAGCAAAGGTGTCTATATGAGAAAACAGTATATAATATTAATAATGACAATAATATAAATTTTATTATATTTAACCATTATAGGGTATGAATATTTTCTCAATGCACTTTACAGCCACAGTGTAATCAGTAAAAGTACAGATATCCGCTCGACTTGCAATAAATCATTGTAATTCAGAAAGTTTTAGAAACATTGATTACCAGTGTATATGTGATGAATCAGTGTTAATGATAATAACTGCTATTGTGGAACCTTGGTCAATGCCCCCAACAGAGATCCGTACAGAACCTGTGTTAATATTTACAATAGACTCTGATTAACTACCATCTTGTAGAGTTAGATTGGTTTTCAGTACCTTGCAGAAGCATAAAAATGTCATTAACCCTCTGAAAAAAAGTTATTTATTTGTATTTAGCACACGAGAGCCAAACCCTTGTTGAACCATCTTTCAGGGATGTTGCAGTTGCCTTCAACAGTTGCCTTTGTTCT